TTTCCTAGGTGTATTGCCCTACTATTGTATCTGTATCAGTGGATGATGTGAATACAAATTCTTGTATTTTGGAATTACTCCTAAAAACAAATAAAAGACATAAAATATATTGAAGCATTCTGCATCATGTCTGATTCATTCCAGTAACCTCTATTGCAGTGAATTATTAACCGAGATTGTATAATGCTACATGTTGTTAGTGTTTTTTAGGTCATTGTTTTGTGGGTGACAAAGTGTGTTTGTTGGCTGTCAACCTTTGCTAGTGTTATGGAAGAATGTGTTGATTTGAGATATGTATGAAGTGATTTGGTAGTTTTAGTGCATTTTGAATGTGAAATGAACTGCTGTGCCAAGCTGAAAGTTGGTTTGGAGAACTGTGTGAAGAGTTTTGAAAAAGTGACTTAAGTATTGAAAAATGGGTCCTAGCGACTGTAAAAAACTGTAATATCAACTTTATTTTCCATTAATAAGAATACATTTACAGTTCTCTCTGTAGCTGTACATAAGCAACTGAAGCAACATGGAGCGCTGACTTCAGTTTGGACCTCATACCACTTTAGCCAAATGTAGAAAATTTATGAGTTATTAGACCCTTTCAAAAGCATAAAACTCTTTAGAGATAGAAAAAATAGGACCTGATGAAGGGAAGAGCGAAGGTAGTGATTTCAGACAAGATGAAGATGAAATACAGACTTATGGCAAATGGATAATGAATTTGAATATTTTCTAATAAAAAAAAAAACTTATTTTAAAATTTTCTTCCTAAATAGAGAAGCCAAAATCATATCTATCCCTGTAAAAGGAGTAACAACACAGCTTGTATTTAAGGAATCCTAACAGGAAGCACCTTATGACTAAATAAAAAAAAAAATAAAAAAAAAATACAAGTTAGTTTGAGGTTATTTCAAATAAACTGTCACCAATGATAATCTGACAGCTTTGCTTTTTTGCAAAACATCTAGCCCACCCCTTTATTCAAATAACGCAGATAGATTGAGACAAAACAAAGAGCTGTTTGGATCCTCCAGGCCAGTAGGGGGAGCTTCACTTCTAACTTCCAATTTGGAATTTCATTTATTGTAAATTTGACTTTTTTCAATAGGTTTAAATAAAAAGAAAACAAATATTTAGTATAAACTTTAATGAAGAACAGTAATTAAGATGCTCCAGTTAGCTTTTTTTATTACCGCTACGAACTGAGCCAGTTACAATGATCCCCTACTTCCTGGATTAAGCATAGCTGTGTGGAAGTGCTGCACAATGATCAAAACCACCAAAAGTAACGGGTGAGGTAGGGAATTAAATTTACTATTACTTCCATACCTTTTTTCATAAATAGTTTCAAGTAGATTTTGGGCCCCAAATTAAAATTGGTTTGTTTGTTTAATCAATTTGTATACAATAAAAAAAATAAAAATAAAATAAAATAGTCTGACCCCCTACAATGTGCCTTTTTACACAAAAGCCCGTATTAAAAGTTTTCTGGAGTAAAATCTGTGTTAAGTTTAAAGATAAAAGGCTGCTTCACATAAAAAATGTTAAATAGTCCACCAGAGCTGATGTCTAAGTCAGACGTTCAGTTTTTACATGAGAAAACAGAAAAACACAAAAAAATGGTTATGACACTAAAACTGTTATGAATCAAAACACGAACTCTGTTCTCTCTAGATTTCATAGAAAAACTCTAAAACTGGGTTTAGGGTAAAATATTCTCCAACTTTTGGGAAACTTCAGTCATATAAATATTTTTTTGATTGATTGTTAAATGTTTATAACAAAAAATAAGACAACTGACAATTTCTTCATATTCTAGATTACTTAATAAAACAGCTGGAAGTAAAATCTGTTGGTGAATCTATTTACAACTTAACCAGAAAAAAATAATAATAAATTAGGAGAGATGTTTAGGAAATGCTCCGTTCAACTTCCTGAGTGAAGCTTTTTCATGTGGCTCTTCCAGAACGTTCTCAGCTGGAGCTGCAGGAGGAACAAAAACACACAGGATCAGATGGATGGATGGATGGATGGATGGATGGATGGATGGATGGATGGATGGATGGATGGATGGATGGATGGATGGATGGATGG